AAATTATGTTTCTAAGTTGAAGACAGCTCCTCATAGTTATGTCTGCCTCTAAGAAATAAAGACTATTTGTAACCATCACAATGTCCATAGCAGAATCTGAGCAATTTGTGAGTAGACACAAGCATAGATCTTCAAACTTATTATCAATGATATTAATGATTATAATTAAGCTTATGTGCTATAAGTCAATGTAATTTTTTTTTTTTTGTACCAAGGATTAATCATATTTTGATGTACAGTTCAGATTAAGCTTTTCTTCATTAGTTATATGAAAATGTCAAGTGGCTAGTCTCCCCGAATAATAGAAGTTTGCATGCAGTAAAAGGATATACAATGTGACCATGAGCATATGAAGTTAAAGATTTAGCTAAGAAACAAAAATGTAGAAATAAGCAGCCAATGTGGAAGTATTATCTTCTGGCTATTTTGTAGTTCTTTGTTTTTTCACCACAAGGCAAATATTTCAATACGTTTTAAATGTACATCCAATCTAGTAGATAAGGAATATGAAGTTAGTTGCTTTCTCTTTGAGTACAATCATTATGTTTGCACATGAACTGTAAGTTTAAAATTAAATATTAATTTTAAATACAGTTTCAGAAAGGTTGTTTCACTTATGATTTTTTTGTTGTTGTTGTTTTATTTTCGTTTTCTTTTAATTTCTTTGCAAACCATTCTACAATTATGTTTCGGAAATCAAAGATGGACTGTAAAGTGGATTTGATCAAACTGCTTTTACTTCTGAGAAACTGACCTAACAAAATCCTGTGGTTTCTTTTTTTGTTGTTGTTTTTGTTTTTGTTTTTGTTTTTGTTTTGTTTTGTTTTGCTTTTGTTTGTTTGTTTTGGAGTTTTTGTTAACTTTATCTGGAATAAGATTCTTTACTCTTAAGGGGAAAAGGAAATAGAGAGGGAAAGAGAAGAAGAAGAAGTGAAGAGGGAGAAGAAGCTGCAGAAGAAAGAGAGAGAAGCAGTGGGGGAAAGAAGAGGGAAAGAGGAGAGAGGGTGGGGAAAAGAGAAGGAAAGAGAAAGATACTGCATCCATGCATTAGTAGACAATAATGTCCTGGAATTAAGATTCTTGCCAAGAAACTTGACAATCTTCTATGTAAGAACAGAAATAGGAATCTGAGCACTGTTCCTTCTGACAATCATGGGATAAGTACCTAGTGGGAAGAGGGCCTTCTCTATTATTTAGCAACAGGGAAAAGAATCCTGGTTGTTTGCTTGCAATGCAGTACAGGAAGTGCTTTGAAATCATTAACATTTCTGTAGGATCAGAAAATAGTCGCCTTTGTAAAGCTCTTAAAAAAATAAAGGGTACTTAGCTTGCTAAGGAAGGCTATAGTTGTGCTATTTTGTGGTTGTTTTGTTGTTGTTGTTTTTTTTATAGGTTTTCTTTTTTTTTCCCAGTTCTTTATATTTTGTAAAAAGTCAGAGAGAAAGGATGAAATTTTTGTTGTTGTTGTTGAACTTTCTAAATAACTGTACATCAGTATCTCTAACCTGAAAAATGTGCTCATTTTGAATAGTCTGTTATGTGAATAGTCTGTTATATGATAGGTTGCTCTAGTTAGGAATATGATACCTCATAGTCTGAAGGATTCGAAATTATTTATAGGAAACAATAGGTCTACTTCAGAATTTGTAAACTAAACAAGGATTGCAGAAGCTCTGTGCTGCCTATGAATGTTGGTTTCTGCAGACAGCGTAAAACTGAAATGCAGAGGGGCAGCTGAAATCTTCTCACATTTGTTTTGGTTCACATGGCTTAATTGCCAGAAAAACATTCATGTATTTGTAGGTTAATAAATAAAATAACATGCACATAAAGTGTAGATTGATTGAGAGTACATTTCAAATTGCCCTGAAATTTGATACTCTTAAGTATAGCAAGATAGTGAGGTGATTTTCCTTCCCTGTATCATTCTATTTCAATGTTTCCCTATAGCTAAAACTTTGAAATGCAGTATGCTCAGGGATGCTTTTGGTTTTCTACGTGGGTGAAGGAGCTAGCCCTGGGAGATATAACTGCTTGAACCATTAGATGTGCCTACAGTTACTCATTCTTCCTGGCCAAAAATACTGGCAAATATCACCTTAAAATACAACACAGGAAACCTATAGTGTATTATTATTATTATAGTGTTTTAATCTTGATTAGAGAGCTTATGTATTATGTCTGCTAGATGGTGGAATAAAGTTCAGTTTCAGCAAAAGTGGAAGAGTGGGTTATGTGCTGGAGATCAAAGCTGCTGAGAGATCTTGACAAGTTGAAGACAGGGACTGATGACCATGTAGTTGGACGAAGGCAAATGCAAAGTCTTGCCCTAGTTCTGGAATAAGCAGTAGTTTAGGGCATGGTCTAACTGAATAGAAAAAAGCTTTGCAGATCCATCAGTCCCAGCATATCTATCAGTCCAGGCATAAAATAAGTTGAACCTCAGTCAGCAAGGGCCAACTGCACATTTTTTCTCAAATGTTTAGCTAGCAGGTACAGGAAAGTGTTCCTACACAACTATTTAGAACCTATGAGAGCACACTGGGAATGCTCTGTCAAAGTTTTGGTTCCTCAGTGTAGAAAAAGACATAAGCCGGATTGAGTCCAGCGCTTAGAGGATTAAATACTTGAAATGGTGAATTCTCCATCCACAGAGGTGTTTAGAACTTCAGTGGATGAAGTATTGACCTACTGACTGATCTATTGAATTTATTTTCAGCAAGAGTTTAAACCTCTTGATCTCCAGAATGTCTTTTCAGCCTACGTACTCCTGTGAATCTAATATATCAGTTATATATCTAATTAATTGTTTTCAACAATATTTCTTCAGTGAAATTCTTTGTGGAAGACTTGAATATTACAAGTTATAGGAAAATTGTGTTGTGCATAAGTTATGTAATAACTTCATCATCAGTTCAATTGTGATTTATTTATATATTGCTAATAATGATTTTATGCCAATTCATTTAATAGTAGGAAGCTTCTTAGAGATCTTCAGTACAGTAACATAAAAGTAATGTCTTTCTTTGCTTTGATTAGAAAAAAAAAAAAACTGTTTTCTAGCCTCATTGTTGAATTTGTTGAACTAGTTATATCTTTAATACAATGAGAAACTTGTTTTCTTGAAGAGTCTCAAAACAGATTTAGAACAACAGTCACTCAGAAAACACTATCTGATAAATGGTAATTGAGTTTAGAGTGACAGAACTGCAAAACTAAATTTAAATTCAAAGTGGATGATTTTTTTAAATGGCAATGTGCTGATAAATTCTGAGTCTTGATGGAAAAGTTAAGATTGGGAATGACTAATTTTGTAGTTTAAGAAAAAACGCAATTTGGATCCTTTTCCCTTCCACCTACTTTAGCTCATAAGGAAAAAAAAAAAAAAAAAAAAAAAAAGATAGAAGGAGAGATAGGGACATCAGTGTAAAGAGAAGTAACAACCCAGAGATGCTGTTTAAAAATCTTTAATAACTGTGGGCTGTCTCTGAAGTCCTGAACGCAGAATAATTTCCTGTAGAAAGTAGAAAAATGAACTGAAAGAGTGTTTGTGCACCAAATCTAGGTCTTTTCCCTGAAGAAGTATTTTGATTCATCCCTTGCACTGATGGATCAACACATAACGTTTTGCCCCATATCTGAAGATGTTTAAGGCCCTGAGTGACCTGATCTAGTGCTTGATTTACTGTTTGTCAGTGATGGCAGAGGGAACTAGATGATTTTTAAGATCCCTTCTAACCCAAGCCATGCTATAATTCTGTGATAACAATTGGGGAGATTTATGCATTGGCCAAATAAGAAAAATGTCTATGAAACAGCAAAATATGGATTCATTCTCTACTTGTTGCATGCAATGTTAGTGTTAGTACTGTAGGTATTAAAGGGCATTGATAATTTAATCAAAGAGTAAAATGAGTGTAATAAAAAGAAAGCAGCTCAACCTCTCCCTCAGTTCAACTGACAGGAGATGAGTGTGTTTAGTAGATTAAACCTACACACATGTGAATGTGTGTCAGTAAGAAAGGAAGTAGTGATTTGACAAGTTTGAGGGAACAAATATTACACAGTTATATCAAAATGTCAAAAGTACTTTAAATCTCTGACAGCCCATAATCTATGTTAAAGACTGAAATGTGAATTAATGTTGAAAAGCTAAATATCAAGATGTTCCAGGGAGCTAAAAGTTGGAGATTTCCCATGAACACTTACTAATCGTTTAAAGAAAAAAAGTGAATGTTCTTTTCATGTATCATGCACTTGTCTGTCAGACATCAGTAGAACAGACTTACTAACAGTAGTTGTTAGTAATACGAAAGTAGCAATAATCAGACAGTCACTTCTATTAATTAAGTATGCATAAGGTGATGAATCTGGGTAATAGCTGAACTTTTCAGCAGCACGTTTTGAACATGCTTCAGAAAGTTCCTATTAGCACCTTCAGAATGTTTTTGACCATGACAGAATTCTTATTCTGCAGTTTACATTATTCTACCCTAATTATTTCAGAGTAAATTAAAAGGGAAGAGGGAAGTAATTTTAGTAGGAGTCTTAACATTACGTCGCTGCATCTGTCCCTTGAATTTTAAAAATGAACCCCTTTTATTTTAATCCACCTTCAAATCTTAGATTATCTATGTTATTTCTCTGATAGTGACTATTTGGCAGGAACGTATTTAAATATTATAATAAGCAATAAAATACTTCATTAAACACGTTTACAAAAACACAAAACTGTAAGATGTTGCTGTACGGTTTTTGTGAAAGTCTGAAGGGATTTTTTTTTAACAAATGTCTCCAGCACCTCAGTTTATAAATCTAATCTAATAATCTAATTGTGGTGCTGTATTTACTCTATAAGTGAAAGCATTTACTGCTGCGTAAAGCATGAACATTACCTAAGGCATGAACAAAGAAAAAACATTTCTGAGCCACTGTATCAAGTTTTTTTTCTACACAATAATTATCAGAAAACTATATATGTGAATTTCTTTCTTTTCTAGCGCCACTAACAGACAAACCACCAAAGCTTTTACACCCATTGGAAAGTAAGCTAACAATTCAGGAGACCCATTTAGGTAAGTAGTAAACACATAATTTCTCTTCAAATTGTATGAAGATATTTGATGTGTTAATGTACAGTTGTAATGTGATAATATGATGTCATTAATACTTTCATTAAAAATACATTAAACGTACTGTGTTGACATGGTGGAGGTGTATCATATAACATCTAGAAAAGTTTTGTTCACCAAAAAAAAAAAAAAAAAAAAAAAGTAGAAAATAATTCTCAGTACTAAAGTCTTGAATACTACTGCATTTTTTAATGTTTTTTTTTTCCATTTCCCATTGTTATGCGTGTGCCTGAGATTTTCTTTCTAAAGTTTCCCTTTTCTGTATATTTAAATATACCCATATATATTAAAACCTCAGTGGGATTTTGTCATTTAAATTCTGCTTACATGACTTACTTGGTACTCTGTATTTATACTTTCTGTGTTTATAAACGTAGTACTGGTTTAAAACTATTCAGCAGTGAGAAGTTAAAGTAATTCAGTCTGATTATTTAAAATTTACAGATATTTATGTATGAATAGAGAGAAATTTATGCACAAAATCATTTTTTCACTTTTTTCCAAACTAGTGGGTGGTGGATATATTTTCTCACTTTGATCCCTTACTGCCGTACATGCAATTAAGTATCCAAAATTAAGTGAATGAATTACTATGGCTTACAGGACGTAGAAGTTTTTCTCCTTTGTGGACTCACAGGTGGCAACTTCTAAGAAACAAGCAGTCATCAGGAAGTTAAACTGGACTTATAATTTGGTGTCAGAATAGTATTCTGTTGATAGATCTTTGAACATTTTAACTAAAGATACAAAGGCAAACAATATGCTGGTTGTTTTAATCACATAAAAATAATTTAAAATTAAAATTAGATAAAATGAAAGAAAGATAACCAAACTCTGGACATTCTTCAGAACAACATCAGCAAAAAGAAATAGCAGAATACTTGCAAATGAGTTTGGAGAGTCAGCAACAGAGAATCTTATGGTGCTTGACAGCTTGTAGCTAATAGTAGCTAACTCATCTTCATTTTGGTATTGATAAAAATTACATTATAATTCAAGCTATTCAAATAATTTTATGAGGTTCTATACACATATATTCTGAAAGTATTATATAGGAAAGGGGTTATATTCCCTAATACAACTAATTTTTTTGAAGTCCGAACACATAATTTCTGTGTTTGATGACTCATGATGATTTTATCTTTTCATTCACCTACAATCATAGGAAATGTAAAGCAAAGTGACTGCCCAATTTTTCTTTCTGACTGATGTTGGTTACTGGGATATTTTTAATGGAAAAGAATTGACATCCCTTTTAGGCTTTGTCAGTGTTTCACCTAATGTGTTGTACTTATCGAGGTTAATTCAAGAGTGTAACTATTAATGGCTAGCTAGAAGCTTTTAACCTATGATTTTAAGTATTAATAATACCTTTCATTTCTCATAGTTCTAAGAAACAGAATGAATTATTTGAGATGTGCTAGGTTATGGATAAGACACTTTTCAGACAACTGAGTAGCTGTTGATGAATGTGAAAGAGTTAACTTGAAAATGTCACTCACACAAGATGGAAAAATTGACTGTAAAAAAATATGAAACAAAAGTACTTTACCTTATATAGATAGAATATATTAATTTGTTGTTTAAGAGTTTGTGAAAAGTTGTATCAGAGCTCGAGCAAGTGAGAAAAAAAGAAAAAAGAAAAAAAATAGTTATCTGGCTCAAATATTGTTCCACTCATAGATTTAATGCTTTGATCCCTTCGGGTAATGTTTGAAAGGGTTACATTTCACTTTCTTTGTGGAGAGCTACCGTTTCAGTTCATATTTTGCAAAAAAATAAAAAGAAAAATATTTTAACATTGAAATAATATTCAGGTTTACTTAGCCAAACCTTAGAAAATTACCTGAGGCAACAGCCTCCCACCGATCTGAGGCCTGGGCTAATCATAACTTGCAGACTGATCTAGGCAGTGACAGAAAACATGATAGTCCTCCACAGTGTGTTTAGGACAGTGTGTTCGACTTGTATTTGAAAATTAAACATATTGATGGAAATATTGGCATGGAAAAAGAAGAGCAAGGAGGCAAGAGCCTCAGGTAGTCTGGGATTTCATGCTGCAGGGCACCAGCTGGTGCACCATAAAGCTTGTACAGTTACCTCTGCTCATGTTTCTGTCCTTATCTCACAGTCTTCCACACTGAGCAGGAATGAAGGCAAGGCACACATGTCTGCGCATGTCCTTGGGCTATACATTATGTACAGAGATGCCTGTGCTTCTATGGGCACCCAAGTTCTTCTGAAACATTAACAGTGATAGTTCACCTCGAAATTTTCCAGTACTAGCAGGCTTTTTGAGAACAGTTCTGAACATACTTTGGAGAAAATTCCTCGTAGCCTCAGTGTTATTGCTGAGATATATTGCTCTCTTATATATATACTAGCAATTAAAATTAACATCATACGACTACAGAGCTGTTGTATTATTGTATTGCATGGCAGACAGTATCAGGCCACAAGGTGATTACACATTGAAGGAGGAGTTTCTCTGAGTGACTGATGAAGTGTTACAGTATTTGGCTTGAAGCAAAACAGAGGTGGAGAATCTGCAGCTCTCAAATCTGGAACTTACAGGCTTCTATGGTTTAAATGTAATCTAATCAGTCAGTCATGGAAAAGGTGTCCCACTCTTGGGACACCCAATGGGAAGATATTTGGAGGATTATAAAACATGGCTACAGTGCAATGAGCAACCTAAGAGAGATGCAGGAATCTTGAAACCTCTTTTGAAATGTCTTAATCACACTGAATAGTAATCAGGAAATCCCTGAGTAAAAGCACAGCATAGAAATTGAAGGAGAAATTTGTTTCTCAAAGGCTTTCCTTGAAAGACAGTACAAGGCAGCCAAAGCATGAGGCAGATAAATCCTTGATGAGGAAAGAAAGATTCATTCCAAACTTGTTCTGCTCTGCATTTAATGCTTTTTATTTGTATATTCACTTCCAATTTTGTGATCAATCACTTACTTCTGTTCCTAGGGTAAAAATACTGGGGTTTTTTTGAGCTTTTCTCCTGACAAGGGATTCCTAAGTAGCGATGGTGACTTCAGTATAGACTTCTAGTCTGGAAACAAAGACTTCATATAAAATACTGTGTTGAACATAGTCTTGAAAAGGGTGCAGCTTTGCAAGAATCTTGAAGCTATAAGATGAGTTGTGTTTCCCATTCAGCTCCAGGCTATTGTGTGGGCTGGAAGCATAAGCATCAGCTGGGGAATAGGGAGACAAGGCACAAGTAATGAAGAACCATGTGCAGCCCCAATGAACTGCATTCCATGATTTCTTTTTTCTTACCTCAACACACTACCAAAATCAGCAAGCAAAAAGCACAATAACATTAGAAAAGAATTCCAAGAATAACAAAAACTATAAACTTTTAGTTCAGACCTGAGTAGAAATTACATTGTTCAGATTGATATTATTTCTGATATATGAAACTCCTAAAATAGAAGCAATTCTATTTTTTTTTAGTTTTAGATTCATGCAGATGTTATATATTTGGCAGAAATGCATATATAATGCATGCTCATTTAACAATTATGTTCTTTTTTTCTGTATTGGTACATTTTGAGGCTTTTCAGTTTCACCAGGCTTTCAGGCAATGTTGTTTTTCCCACCAGCAATGTAAAACATATTTTCTCCCTCAAAGAAACTAACAGCATATTATTAGTCTGCCTGTTGAAAATCTCATTCTATTAACCATTTGATCTATTTATGGACCAAAAGAAGACAGGTGTGTCTCCATAACAGACTGTAATGGATCAGAATTAAAAAAAAAAAAAAAGCAAACAACAACAAAAACACAGCAACACATGCACATGGAACAAAACACAATAAATCAATAATGATATTAAACAGCTCAGAAACTATGTCATCCCCATTTTTTTCAGTATATTTTCTGATTCTGCACAAGCCTATAATTTGAAATGCCAGAATTCAGCTAGAAAAATAAAGCAATAGTTGAATTATTTTCATCTAGACTAAATGTTAGACAAAGGAGAAAATGAATAAAGACTCCCAGAACCATATGAATAGGCCTTAAACATAGGCAGGTACCTAAGCACTTTGTGATTTGAATGAAGTGAGTTTTCATGAATTTCATCCAATGCCAAAATTTATTCTTGTGACTAAATCTGCACTGAATGTGGATTTGTTGTTGTTGTTACTGTACTTGTTGTTTTGTCTTTTATTTATTTTTAGAGCATTGTTTCCATAAAATGAAATTGACCACTCTCTAGTGAATAGGGACTTGCTTCTTTCTCTTTGTCCTAAACATATTCTTGAAAAAAGTGATTAAACTGGCTATTAATGTGTTCTTTCTAAAATAAGAATATAAAAAAGTTCCAGAAGGAGATGAGAATACTTCGGAAAGAGTGGGATACTACTTCATTTATAGCAACATTTTCATAAAAATCTTCCACACAAATTGACATTATTAATGATAAAAGCACTCCTTAGCTAGCCTAATCAGTAGCTGTATAAATAAATTACCTAAAGTGATGTGAAATAACTAGCAATATATGTCTCCTTTCTAGATGATAATTAAAATGTAAGAATGCCTAAAATCATTTTTAACTGTACACAATTAATCTAACTGCCATACTGACTCCATAAAAGGAACAACATCTTCGTGATGTTAGGAATTGTTACATTGATCTATTTAATTGTTCCAGTGTTCTTTACACTAAAATGATCTATTTTTGAGGAAGAAACCCTCAACACTTTCCCAGTGCTTCCATGTGGCTGCACATTCTGCTAACTCAAACATGGCTGTGGAAAGGAGACTCTGGGACAGACACTGGCCCAGCAAAAGTCAAAGAAAATGGTGCCACCTCCCAGCCACCTCACCAGTTCCGTGCACAGAAAGGAGCTGTAGTGTGATTTCTATCTCAGCCCAGCTGCTGAGACTTAGTGCTGTGAACCGGATCTTCAGACCATTGTGC